TTTTCGTGGGAAATGGATGCCTAATTGGGAAGGGCCATACATTGTAAAAAAGGCCTTTTCCGGAGGAGCGCTGATCTTAGCAGAAATGGATGGAAAAGTTCTGAGAAACCCAATAAACTCAGATTCTGTCAAGAAATATTATGCTTGAAGAAGAAGAAAAATGAAAAAGAAAAAAAGAAAAAAAGGAAAAAAGGAAAAAAATGATGAAAAAATATATAGAAAATGAGGGTCAAGATGAAAACCCGCAAAGGGCGTCTTGCAACCAAAGGAAGGATTTGAGTTGAAAACCTAAAAGGGCTGCTCAAATGCGTGTTGATATTAGGCATCTGGCAATTAAAACCTCTTAAGAGTTTGATATTTTGGGAGAAACTCTACATCTACAAGCATTCTAACAACGTTTGAGATCTTCCAGACATAAGCTTACCTTAGTGCTCTAAATTATATCAAGTTGATTAGTTTAGAAATACTTATGCTAATAATTTGTTGAGTCATTTGAATTTTATCATTCCTATGTTTGCCATGACTTTGAATACATTTTTAATATATTTATTATTTATTCCAAGATTATCTTTTTTAAATTTATTCATTTTCGAAATTCAATTTATTTTTTCATAAACATCCTGTAAATGGATTAACATAATCTTGAAACAAACAAAATATTTCTGGCTATTATTTTATGTTAATACTTTTAAGTGCATGGAATCTAAAGTAAGTCTTATCGACATTTTCAATTACTGTTGAAAAGCAAACAAGTTATTTCCATCATAGAGTCATTTGGAAGCAGAATAAGAGGAAATCTGTTCTCAATTGGCAGATTATGATTATAGCTCTTTTCCGTGCAACAGCACAAAAATATTCGAATCTATAAATTCTAGCTCTACATCGTATAAGTAACATGACATTTCAGTCCAAACATAACTGGAGCAAGCGCCACGTTCTCGTAGTATAAATAAGGAGGCCCAATAACATCTTCTGGAAGTGTTCTTTGAGTTATATGATCTGGTTTGGTAAGAACCCCAAAACCAATCATTGGATTTGAAAGATGAACAACATGATCGACTTTATTGAGAAGCTTCTTTTCAAGCTTCCTCTGCTTCTTCCTTTTCAAAAATCATAGCCTGAGTTTTGCCTTTGTTTGTAATTGGGGTCATTGCATAATGGCTTCCTATCTTCTACCGGAAGAAGTGCGTCAGCAGCCTTAGCCATTTGAGCAGCACATATAAAATCTGTCAATGCTGCAATTGATGAATCTGGACCACATCTCTCCATGGCTATTAAAGCCTCAGCCTCTGAGTACCCCATTTTTGTCAAGTATAACAGTTTATTCTCCTCATCAGAATCAGAATTCAGGATTTCCTTGGTATCAGAAGAACTATCAATATATGTGAAATCATCTCGAAAGATCGCTTCATAATCAGATGAGTAGTTATCAGAAGCAACATGTTGCATGAGTGCGGACTTTTCAAGAGCCTATACCATTGAGTTTTGTTCTCAAGTGGTTTTGTAATATCATACAAAAATTCAGGCATATCTACATCTACACTCTCCAAAGATGATAGATTCTCTTTTCAAAGAAGAAAGATTTATTGGATTTTTACACAATTGAATAAAGACCGAGTTCACCACTTTGAAATCAAATAAAGATAAACTTAACATTCATGCATCATATTTAGACATTTGCAAAATAGGGGCATTTTCATTCATTTTATCCATGTTGAATATTTGACAGGAATTTCAAAGATTTTAGCAAAGATTCGAATCCATCACTCGATGGATCAATATTTCCAGAGTAAGTTCATAATGAGAAAAACTCATCTGAAGAATGAAGAAGAAGTTCATAATGAGAAGAACTTGTTTAACCTTTTGCTCGAATTCATCACTTGATGGATCATCATTGCCAGGTAGAGTTCATAATGAGAAGAACTCATCTAAAGAAGGAAGAAGTTCATAATGAGAAGAACTTGGTCAACCTTTTGCTCGAATTCATCACTTGATAGATCAGCATTAACTTTTCCAGAGAAAGTTCATAATGAGAAGAACTTATCTGAAGAGAAAGAGGAAGTTCATAATGAGAAGAACTTGTTCAACCTTTTGCATGACTCTATCACAGAAGGAGATAGATCAACATCAATATTTCCAGAAGTGTTCATAATGAGAAGAACTCATATGAAGAAGGAGAAGAAGTTTATAATGAGAAGAATTTGTTCAAACCTTGCCTTAATTCATCACATATAAAGTTGAATCAATGACACCTCTTTTGAAGATCAGCATTTCTCGAAGGAGTTCATAATGAGAAGAACTCATCTGAAAAAGAAGAAGAAATTCATAATGAGAAGAATTTGTTAAACTTTTTGCTAGATTATATCACAAAAGAAAATAAATTTTCATCCCCAGTGGAAAAGTTCATAATGAGAAGAACTAATCTCAAAGAAGAAACTTGTTCAAAATTTCTATCATAAACAAGAGAAGTCAACTGAATAAAAATTTATTGTCATTTCGTCTTTACCCTTTGCCCAAAGAGGGGCAGCTGTAGACACTAAATTTTTTATCCCGGTTTTATTATCATTATTAATATTATTATAATTATTTTATATTATTATTATTATTACTAAATAATTTTAATTTTACAGGCCCAATTACAAGAACCCAGACCCAATTTACAAGCCCAACTCAGGAAAACCCAATAGAAACCCTAAATTGATTAAGGTTTATATCATCTCAACCCTAGCTCTAGCCGCCACCTTAAGCTTCCAGAAGCCCCAGCCGTCGCTCGTTGCCAACTGCTCCACGCCGCCGCTGCCACGCCAATGCCCTCGTCGAAGCCTCCAGAAGGCCAGCTGCCTCTCCACATGTTGGGCTCTATGCTGAGTCACCACCATAGCTATGGTGACTCACCTAGGGTCATTATTTGGGACCGGTCCGAAGAAGATACCGGCAGGCCTATAAAGGCCATTGACCGAACCTGCAACAAGGAGAGAGCAAGAATTCGAGAGTACAACAACACGAATAAAAAACAAGCAAACATAACCACACAACAGCAACAGAGACCAAAAACCTAGAGAAAACAGAGTGAGAACGAGGGACTTACCACCGAACAAAGCCCAATCGTCGCCGGAGACGTTGTTTCAACCGAGGTAAAAGCTTCGGTTTTACTAGATCTACGAAAATTTAAGGGGATTTAGGGAAAACAGAGGCCGTATTCGGCCTTAGGAGGTTAAAACCTATGTTCTAGTGTAATTTGGAAGTTCCGACCACCGTAAGTAGTGGCCGGCGGTGGTGGTCGGTGCTGGATCCCGACTGCCGGCCGGTGGTCTCTCTCTCCGTTTTAGAGAGAGGCGAGAGATAAATCTCTCGATTTTAGAGAGATAAAAGAAAAGAGGAAAAATGAGAAGCTGGCCTGAAGGGCCAACTATAATAGGGTATTTATACCCTTTCTTAAACGACGTCGTTTAAGGGAGGGCCTTTGTGTAATTTTGCGCCTGGCTAAACTATTCCCACAGCCACTATAACTTTGAAAACTTGCCATGTGATCCTTATACCATGTTTTTATTTATTATAATTTGGTATTCGAATTTTAATTTATTATAATTTAGTCCTTTACATAAAATATATATATTTTAAGCAAATAACCGATTTATCCCTCATAATTTTATTAATTAATATTTTAATCCTGAAAGCATATTTTAATTTATTTTAAATTTGATATTCGAATTTGATATAAGTTTATTTTTGTCCCTAAGTTAATGAATTGGTAAAATAACATGTCTAGCCACTATATTTTAAATAGCTAAATTAGGGTATTTTAATTTTAATTTTAATATAATTTTATTTTAGTCACTAAATTAAATAAATGTAAAATAACATGTTTAGTCCCTGTAATTTTTAAATAGTTAATTACTAATTAGATATTTAATTTTAATATGTTATAATTTAGTCACTAATTTTAAATATTTTTATTTATTTTTAATTACAAGTTTTACTGCTTTTTATATTTTAAATATATAGTTTTAATTTTATTTATTTTAGTCACCGTTTAGTTATATTTTAATTTTATATGTTTATTTTCGATATATTTAATTATTATTATTATTATTATTATATATATATATATATATATATAATAAATATAAATTTATAAATTTTTTATTTAAAATCCTATTTATAAATTTAATTTTATAAATTACTTTTAAGAAAAATAATTATATTTAATATATATTTATTTTTCAATATTAAGAAAGGATAGTCTTAAAGCAACTGGATGTTCATTTTCTGATATTTTTAAAATAAATAAATATCTTACTTTTATAAATTATATATATTTTTAATTATTTTTAGATAAATGTTTTAATATTTATTTATTTTTTAATATTAAGAAAAGAGCTGTCTTAAAGCACCTAGAAGTCATTTTCTGATATTTCTGAATAAATAAATATCTTATTTATATATATAAATTAATAGATTTTCTTAAAATTATAAATTTGAAATAACAAGATTATAAATTAAATATATCTTTGAATTTTTAAATTTCTAATAATAGAGACAAATTATAATTAATGATTACCAATTTTGGGCGTTATAGGGGTGCTAATCATTCCCTAAACGTAATCGACCACGAATCTCTTCTTTACTAAATTTTTTTGGTTATACGCAGATCGGTTTATCTTTTAAATTATGTTTTAAAAAAAATTATTTTAAAAGATTGTTTTTAGGTATTTGAACTACCTAACCCAAAAAGGTCAATGACGACTCACAAAATATTTTTAAAATCAAAATTATTTATTTGTTCATTTTATTTTTCCGTCAAATAAAAATTTTTCGTGTCGGGCAAAAACCGACACACATTAAAAATAGTCATTAATTGCTTTATTCCGTAGCTTTCACTGATCGAATCCAAGGCAAACAACAAAATAAAAACTTGTGGGGAGCACTATCATGTACCCATTTTTTTAACATACATATCTTGACTAGAGGCAATTCCCATTTATTTTTTAAGTGCCTTTTTCATTGTTAAATCTCAGACTAATTAGTTCTCTAAAAAGAAGAAATAATATGGCATTAAGCAGCAATGTGATCGGTGCAATCAACTTTGTTGCCATGCTGCTCTCGATTCCAATCATAGGTGCTGGAATCTGGCTTGCAAATCAAGCAGACAATTCCTGTGTCAAGATTTTACAATGGCCTGTTGTAGTTTTGGGAGTCTTAATCTTGGTTGTAGCTCTAGCAGGGTTCATTGGAGGGTTTTGGCGCATTCCCTGGCTCCTTTTTGCTCACCTTGTTGGCATGCTCATTCTCATCATATTGCTTGTATGCTTGGTTGTTTTCATCTACATGGTCACCATGAAAGGCTCGGGCCACCTCGAACAGGGTCGGGCTTACTTGGAATATCGTCTTGAAGATTTTTCGGGTTGGCTTCAACGGAGAGTTAAGAGTTCTTACAAATGGGAAAGGATTAAACTCTGTCTCAGCTCAACAGATATGTGTTCACAGCTGAACCAAAGCTATACTATGGCTATAGATTTCTTTAACTCTCATTTAACACCCATAGAGGTAAATCTCACTTCTTTTGCTTATGGTTAAATTGTTCCATAAATATGATTAAATTCATTGCTTCCTTATAACAAATTCTTGCATATATGAATTTAATGAAGTATGTTAAGGCATACATCCTTGTTCATTGCAAGAAAAAAAAGGAGAGCATAGAGCCATGTTGTTTTTAGCAGGGACTAAGCTACATAGTTGCTAAGAGGACCTGTTGTCCCTCCCAAAATTTTGGTAGGACTAAGTTACAATTTTGCTTCCCTCAGTATTTGATCCTAGCTTCTTCCCTACTTATTAGAATTCTAGGAATCTTCTCCAAAAATTGGATTTTATTATCAAAACGATAATCCGAGAGATTAAATAGTAAAATAATAATAAAATTAAACCGATATTATTATTATTATATGTTCAACATAGCAGAAAAAGAAATGAATTAAGAACAAAATAGTTACTCGTTTGTAGTTATGAAATCGAAAGGACACAGTCGTTTTTTTTTTCAACAGATATTTCTTAAGACCGTGTTTTCTAAACATAAAAACAAAGTAGAATTAAGCAGGCATGTGTTAAGGTAACTAGATTCTATATATCTTTATGCTTTGTTCTTTACAGTCTGGATGCTGTAAGCCACCTACTGCATGTGGATACAATTTTGTGAATCCAACAAACTGGATCAGCCCCATCAACAACATAGCAGACCCTGATTGCATACAGTGGAGCAATGACCAAACGCAGCTGTGCTACAATTGTAACTCGTGCAAAGCGGGATTACCTACCAATATAAAGCAGGAATGGAGAAAAGCCGACATAATACTGCTCACAACTCTCATTGCTTTGATATGTGTGTATCTTGTAGGGTGTTGTGCGTTCAGGAATGCCAAAACTGAGGACATTTTTAGAAAGTACAAGCAAGGTTATACTTAAGAACTAGGTTAAGTTTAAGCTGGTAGTGTTAGTGGTGCTATTGGGGTGGGATTGAATGGAGTTTTTCATCTTGTGACTTTGTGTAACTAAGATGATGTGTTACCTATTCACATTTGGTTGAAAAGTTGTATAACCAAGTAGAAATTTCTGTAAAAACAGTGATGAGATGTGGCCTACTCCAATATTTATTGCTTATGAACATTGACTTTAAGTGTGGGGTTCATGAATTGCTACTGTCTGACAATATACAGAAATGGATCGTTGTAAGGGCTTGGCGCGAATCTTTATAATAAACCAACAAAATAATAAGATAGCTTTTCCGGGAAAACGTTAAGCCTGGGAGCAATAGACCTGAAATCCCGGTTTTGGAATTCGGAAACAAAATGGCCGACAGTGGTACTCACCCAAGAAATGTCCCCCATGAAATGGGGTCTCAGGAGGACTTTTAGAAGTTCCCGCTTAAAAAGTGTGGTCCTCATGAGTATTCATTAGTGAAAATTTCATATTACATGCTCGATAAGTATAATAATGTTTGGTTCACCCCCCCCCCTTTTAGTCCAAGTAAACAACAGCAAATCCCCACAACTGAAGCATTTCTGCATTTGCAACTGGATAGAAATTTTACTCTTGGCTTGCAGAATGTGTAACAGAGAAATTGGAGCTTTTTCTTTTCAAACAAGGGATTCCATTTTATTGTGATTGGTGCTCACCTAGCTGGCCCAAAGTTGAAAAATATAACCCCATGGTCGTCAACATTATTTTTGGTTCACTTTTATCCTTACTCAAAGCCATTCCATTTCCTTTTTCTCCATTAGCATTGGATTTATTACTGTACCCCGGAAAACAAAACAATCTCATAAGCATTAATCTGACTTCGATGGCAGCAAACAATATCTTTGTTGGCACTCTCTCTCTATTCCGATCATCGGTGCAGGAATCTGGCTCGCAAACGAACCAGATAACGCCTGCACCAAGATCCTGCAATGGCCTCTAATAATCCTAGGCGCCTTGATCTCGGTCGTGGCACTATTAGTCTTCATAGGAGGGTGCTGGCGCATCAATTCGCTCCTCATCGTTTACCACGTATTAATGTTCATCTTGATAATACTGTTTGCATGTTTGGTTGTGTTCATTTATTTGATTACCAACAAAAGTCCAGGCCACCCTGCACCAGGCCGCACCTACACGGAACACGACCTCGATGATTTCTGCGATTGGCATCGTCGGAAGGTAACGAGTCCGTACAAGTGGGACCGAGTTAGATCATGCCTTAACTGATATGTGTTCTGAGTTAAACCAGAGATATCGTATAGCTCAGGATTTCTTCAATGCTCGGTTAACATCTATACAGGTAACTTTATTGTAAACTTGCAATCCATTGACAAATAAGGGTAAAGTATAAAAATGGTCCTCCAGTTACAGGGTATTATTTTGTTGAAACCCTCAAGATACAAAATGGTCCCCTCACTATAAGATGTTATTTTATTGAGTATTCTGATTATTAAAAGTTATAAAATAGTCACCTGACTATTCATGTGTTTCGAACTCGTCATTTTCTGTTAAAAATTAGTAGTCGTTTGAGCATGACGTTAACATATTAACTAGGATATAATAAAATATAATCCCAAAATAGTTTGAGTTGTAATTTTGTGGATCGACTCACCGTTTACATTATCTCGTCGAGGTTATGCTTGAAATATTATATTGTCAAGTCCGTTCTTAAAAGAAACGCGATGCCATTAAACATAATGAAAATATGATTTCATCGTATCATAGTAGTTTAATATTCAACTCAGACGATTGCCAATTTTTTAATATAAAATGACGAATTTGAAACATATAGATAGTTAGGTGATCAATTTGTAACTTTTAATAGTCGAATGATTCAACAAAACAACACCTTATAATCGGGATTATTTTGTAACTTTTAATAGTTGAGAGACTTAACAAAGTAATGCTCTATAGTTGAGGGAGTATTTATGTAATTTAGCCAAACATCAAAATCAAAGAATAATTTCTCTCTTTTGATGTTTTATAGTATGGATGCTGCACGCCGCCAGCTGAGTGCGGGTATTCATACATAAATCCAACGTATTGGCTGAATCCCAACAACACAGCAGCAAGCATGGATTGCTTGCAGTGGAGCAATGAACAAAGGCAGCTTTGCTTCGACTGTGATTCATGCAAAGCCGGATTACTGGATAATTTGACCAAAGAATTGAGAAAGGTCGACATCGTGTTGTTAATCACACTCGTTGTTTTGTTATATTTAATAGGGTTTTGTTTTGCTCCTAGGAAATACAAAACCGGAGATACATCCCCAAGACGCCACAAACAAGATACATAAACACCTTTGTATATGTAGTTCTGAGATTGTCATGAAAAACTATGCCACCAAACTTGTATGTATGGAATATTATCATTTGATTTAACATTTGTCGGAGAAACAGATAAAAGAGAACTGAATGTTGGAGATGGGGTAGATGATCATTTTCATTATCTTGTATAAAAAGCCAACAATGTGTGTGTGCGTGATTTGTGGATGGCACCGAAAGCTCATTACTTCTTTTTCTATAACCAGTAGGAGGGCAGCAGCAAGGATTATTTTATTAATTTTTTATTTTGAAAATTCTCTTTTGAATCAGTTCGTTTGATTAAAAGATAGTTTGATCTGAGATTAGTTTTGAATATTGAATAGTAAGATGGGAGTTAAATGACCAAATTGGAAAGAAAACATAAATTGGGTATTTGCATGTCAAATTTCCCTTTGTCAAATGTGAGTGGATTTTGATGGATGCTGGTTAGCTATGTGTCATGAATTTTATGATATAGATTCTGGTAAAAGATGAATAAGGACATGTTGATATTATAATTGTTAAATAAATTTCATTAATATTTTGGCCTACCAACCGAATGGATAAGAAAGAAGGAACCGTTTTCTCATCTCCTCCTAAATACTTATTTTGGCCATGGACGGGTGCTTGGTTTTGAAGTGAGAAAGTTCATAAATTCCTTTTTCTTTTCTTTCTTTAAATCCATGTATTATCCAAACATGGATTAGGAAACCCCGTGTGTTATATTTCAACTTTCAAGATAGTGTCATCGATATTTAATTTAAATTTTAATATCAACTCATCAAGTAATCTTAATTAAATTACTTCAGATTATTTAAAATTATTTAAATCAAAAAAATTATGTAATAAAATACACAAATGATTCCTAATTATATGACATTGTTTTTTAAAATTTTCTTACTATTAAAAGTTATAAAATAATCCCTTAATTATAGGACATTATTTTGTTGAGTCTTTTGACTATTAAAAGTTGTAAAATAGTCACTCAACTATTTATATATTTCAAATTCTTTCTTTTTCGTTAAAAAATTGACGATCATCTAAGTTAGACGTTAACCCACTAACTGAGATATGATAACAATTATATTTTAATGATGTCTACTGACACCGCTATTACTTTCAAAGCACTAACTCTACGACATAAGCTTTCAAATACTGATTCAAAAACATAATGTAAACGGAGAGTCGATCCATAAAATATAACTCAAACGATTTTAAGATCATATTTTATTATATTCCAGTCAATCGATTAATCTCTAGCTCAAACAACTGCCAATTTTTCAACGAAAAAGGTCGGACTTGGTACATATAAATAATCGGATGATTATTTTGTAATTTTAGTAGTCGAATGACTCAACAAACATCTTCCTATGATCGAGAACCATTTTATAGCTTTTAATGATCGGAGGATTCATCAAAGTAATGTTATACAATGGGAGATCATTTGTGTACTTTACCCAAAATAATATTATGGGCTGGGTTTTAACTTATCATTATAAACCTAACACCTAGTCCACTCAGTCTAAAGTCTAGACTAACAAAATGGAGATATGCTTACATTTCCACGTTCGCACGTAACTTTAACATCAGGCCCACATATTTTTCACCCCCAACATCTTCTCCGTGGAACCCCATTCCTTTAAATACATTAAATGAATCAATGTTTGAGGGTTCAATTGGGACGAGTTTTATCTTCAGTAGTCCTATCCAGCGATCTAAATAGCGATGTATTATTAAAGTAGTAGATGTTATATAATGATAGTGGTACCGTTCTCAATTATTATTATAAGATCTCGATACTCGCACTAACGGTAATAATATTTATTATATATGTAATAACAATAAACACGATGTAACTATAAATATGACCACAAATGTAATTTATGTCTCTGATCATATCAACCCTTTAACATGGTTCTTAAACAGGAGAAAATGTTGAAAGTGACCGAGTTGTTGGAAGCTGATCCTCTTGCAGATTCTCATAACAAATATGGGATTTGTGCCTGCCAAACCAAGGCAATCACAGGGGGAAAGTTAAATCAATTGCCGAAGCCTGTCGAAATTTCCTCCCCACAACTTACACTTCACGCATAATTAAGTTTGTGGACTGAATGGAACATGTGTTGTTCAATGAAATCAAAACAAGCTAGTTGACTTTACGACTTTTACTATATGACAACCTAATTTAAAGTTAATTTGTGACGAGTTTTAATTTAAACTATTATCATGTCCAATCTAAAAAGTTATACAATTAGTAATAACTTAAATTATAATCAAGAATGTTACATTATGACGAGTTTTAACAAACATTACATGTCCACACTAAAATGTTACACAATTGATAATAATTTCGGTTGCAATAGAGAATGTCTTGATCTAACTTTTTAGGTTACAAATGTAATACTTATGAAATTTATATGATTTGTTATAGAAAACATAATGATTTCGATTTCAACTTAAAATGTTATCTAGATTACTATAAAGAGTTACACTCTTGACAAATTTTTCGATTACAATAAATTTCTGTTATTTTTTAACCTTATATTAACTTACTATATTTTAGAGCCATCCATTTAACTATGTCCCCATTTATACCTGAAGTTTCGGATCAATATGTAAAATCAGAATCGAACCTATCTCATAATCTACGACAAAAGGATGTGCTAGGAAATAGGCCATACATTAATAAACCATAAGCATGGAGATCTTGTGGGATTTTCTTTCTCTTTTGGTAAGATTCCATGCCTGAATGATCGATTTATGTTACAATAATTGTTTATATGGAGCTTTCTTAAGTG